CATTGTTCTATTAGTTCTGTGGTTATTTTAACCTCATATTTTTCTAATGCCGGACGAGGCTGTTTAGCAGAGATCAAAAAGGCCTTGCGACCCCCCCATGAAAGTTTGGATGGATGTAAGAATTATTTAAGTGTTAATCACTTTATTAGGATTTGTTTGAGGTTAGTGAATTCCTTCACTTTAAATAGTTTCCTGTTGTTCAGCTGCAGGAAAAACAAGCCAGGAATTTGGACATGCCCAAAAAAACATTTATAAACAGCCACGGAAAAATGTTCAGACCTTTAATTAAATATTAATTTAACGGTTTAATTATTCTTTATTAAATTATTTGGAGCAGCTGTGGCTCAGTTGCTCTCCCGGTCCAACCGAAGGGAAGATATTAAACCCGTAAATTCATCCAGACAGATGTGCTGTCAGTGTGTATGGGTGAGCAGTATCTGTGAATAGGAAGCTCAGGTCGGCACCTTGCATCACTGTGTGAATGGGTGAATGTGTTGTAAAGCTCTCGGAGTGGTTGGCAGACTAGAAAAGTACATTCACTATTATATTTTTTTTATATTGCGTTTTATTTTTGGTATAAAAACAGTCAGTCATTTCTGTGGCAATAAAACGTCGTGTGGTACCAGCTGCTGCCCCTGTAGCCATGATGCCAACCAGTGTGCTGGTGATCATACAGGGCTAGAAAAAGACTTCAGCTAAAAAGGTCATTTTAGCTGACTAACATGTTACCCTGAATTAATTGAGCAACATTCAGAGAACAGCTTCTGGAAGTTTGTACACTCATCATTAAAGTTACTGAAGGTAGATACACTATATGTAGTTTTCTCCATGAATAAAGGCATTTAACGTGGTTACATCTCAGTGATAAAAGTCAAGAAACAAACACAAGTATGCTGAGTTTCCATCCCATTTATTCCTGGTTTCTATTTTGTACATGAAGCTGCAATAAAACCGACAGATCTAAAAATGACACATGAATGAAAAGAACAGAGAGAGAGAGAGAGAGAGAGAGCTGAGAGGAGAGACCATATTCAAACAATAAATGGCCAGCCGACTTTACAAAGGCTTCGGATAAAAGCAAAAGCCGTCTGATGGGCGATTGAAGGGAGAGAGATTCAGGTTAATCATTGACTGGACAATAAAAAAGCCATTGCACTCCTACTTCCCCTGAGGTTCCCAGACACACGGACAGACGGTAAACATTTCAAAAAGGCACTTAACAAGGGATTGCATGATGTATCAGTGCATATTAAACTTAAATTCCACTTCTTCAAGGATATTTCTCTACAACAGACCTGATCTGTGGGAAACTATCAATATACACAGAAGGCCCATATAAAGCTACGTTCACACTGCAAGCCTTGGCGCTCAGTTCTGATTCATTGGTCGGACTGTTTTTGTTTGCCTGTTCACATTATTTTTAAAATGTGGCCCGGTTCAGATTCCAGTGTGAACAGGTCAGGCTGATTCGGACTGATTTGGACCACATATGAGAGCGGCCGATATCAGAACTGAAATGTGATTTGTGCTGTTCACATCGTCAGGAAAACAACTGATTTGAGTCACACACATACACCAAATTTAGGCCACTTGCAGTGTGAACACAGCCGAAGTATTTGCTGAATACTATAGACTTTTCTATGTAACAATCCATAAGTACAGTAGACCGTAAGGGCCTGTAAACTGGAACGGCTTGCTGAAGATAACCTGTTAAGACCTGGCCAAGAAATATAGCTATATAGAGATTTTTTCCATAAAACATTTACATCCAAAAACATCAGTTTGGGCATGAAATGACCTTTGGTTTGTCTGTGCGTCTGTACTCACAAGTACATCCCGCACATAAAGAGAGAATCCACCAGAACACACATTTAAAATGTTGGACTGTTCAAATTTCAGAACATGAAATCCCTGCACATTTTTATGTAACTGGCAAATAAAGTCTGAACTGCATTAGATGAACAGTATGTATGGTCATCCACGTTTATTCCAATGACTCAACAGACTGTGAGCTTTTTAAAATCAAGATAAGAATAATTTCATTGCAACGCTGAAGATATCAAACGCTAAAATACGCTTGTAAATAAAGTATCCGCTCCATAAAGGCTTTATAAAAGTGTCCCGTGATAAGAGGGTTGTCTTGTCTCTTAGTTCTGGGAGAAATTAATTCATAAACGATATTAAACCTTTCTGGGTTACAGTCAAACTCTTCTGCTTTCAGGTGGATTCTCACTTTAATAAACAAAAAAGGTTTGAGAAATGATACGCAATTGTTTTTAATGACATACTCCAAACTGTTGCATATACTATGACGAAGGATTGCACGTACATACTATTAGAGATCTATAGAGTATATAACATTTAACATTCTAGTATAAAATATAGTCCTAGGCCTATCAATAGATATCTTTTCATATACATTCGGGGTAAAGCGTAGGCTGGGCTGGATCTCGTATGAAAGCAACATTTAAATACAGTCAAACAGAGTCTCTGTGGCTGGTCGAGGACAGACAGATAACTGGTTGTTTCTACACAGCAAAACATTCTCCTTTCTCTGAGTCAAAGTCAACTTTATTCAAAGCCGACGGAAAAAACAAAACACACAGAGAAATGTCACGACTGGCATTCTGTCCACATCTCATGTCGGTTTCCACGTTCACGTGTTTCACTGGAGAATTTTTTTTCCATTCGTTTAAAAAAATAAAATAAAAAAAGAATCTGCGCCGGGACACGGATTCAGTCACGAAACAATAAAAACAATTCATCTGTATTTCAAATTTAAGGTACACTTTGTTATCATAACATCGATTTCATGTCAGTTGTTGTAAATTGTGTTCGTAGAAGCACAAATATTTCATTTAGACCGATCACTGGCAGAGAAAATGGCATTTTTTCCCCCGAGACAGTCAAGTTCCAACTGGTTCGGACTCAGAACAGCCTGTATTTGTCTGTGAGCAGTCTGATATCTGACCCACTGCTGCACGCCGCCGCCGAGGAACAGCGGCGACGAAGCAACCGTGGTTACTCTTTTACTATTTCAACATTTGTGTTGGATTTGTCGAAGCAAGCTTTTGTGCTATCCCTGTGCAAACACAATACTGAGTGCACCGTTACAACCAACACTGGGCCATGGCTACTTTCTGGGAGTTTAGGAAGGGTACTTTGAAACAATGAACATACCTGTGGTAAATAAAATAAAACCAATGCCAGTTATATATTAATACATTGGTGGCCATATTGAGAAATACTGACATTTCAGTGGTCATGTTGGCACTGCTTGTTTCTGTGAATACTTTGTATGGGACTATGGCATCTTTCAAATGATTGTAAAGGTTTTTTTGTGTAGAAAACAGAGAAAATCTGTGTTTCTTTAGCCCATTTATTCCCAGCTGTACACACAGTTGTTTCAACTGGCCCAACTACTTCTACCTCCACAAAAAGCAGCCAGTGTTCAGCTGTTGATTGGACCTGGTTGTCTGATCCCAGCAGTACACGGTGAGGGCCGTTTTAATATTCATGCTCGGTTACTTCAGCCGCTGTCTTGGCAAAGTTGTGGCGTCATTTCACCGAGATTGTTGTCAAGAGTTGGCGAGATTGAGCTTGCGATGCGCGGGAGAAATTTAATTTTCACATTCTCGGTACATCAGAAATGTAGTACTTAAGTTTAAAGAGTCAAACTTGGCTTAAAAAAAGAAACGAGAACAATAATTACAGTATGTGATGGTAGTCTTTGCCACTTTAGTCAGGTATCGGGCGAGGTCTGATGACGCGGGTAGAATTTGGTGGTGTGAGCAGGTGGAGTTAAGACCTGTGCAATGGAGCTCGACTGTGTGTCGCTGTGTTGCTTCTCTTCTGGATCTCTCGGCGGTCCAGTGCGCACATCTCCCTCTGGTGTGTGATACAACTCTGGAGAGACAAAACGCAAACAAATAAACAACAAGAACTCAAACAAGAGTAAACCTCCCACCGTGTCAAAAGCTGTGAGACAAATCTACAGTTCATTGGACAATACCCACGCTCAGAGCCTGAAAAGAGCAAAGTACAGCAACTGCATTACCTGTAGACAGAGTAAACTAAGGAGCTTTCCTGTAAAATAGTCTCACAATGCAAACTGTTGCCAGACTTCAGACTACAGGTGCTAGTCTCTGTCTGTGGACCTGCCTGTTGCTGTGTTGGGTCCTGCTTTTCATGAAAATCACCATCACGTCTCTCTCTCTTTCTTGACGGTGACATCTCCACCTCCAGCTCCGGCCCCGCTGGCGGGTCCACCCCCGGCCCCAGACGCACCCGCAGCTCCAGGCCCGGGCCCGGTCCCGGCTCCAGAGGCAGCAGAAGAGGCAGCTCCAGCTCCAGCGTTGCCCAGTATGGTGGAGACTTCCCCCTGCATGAAGGCCCAAGGGGGGCTGTTGGGAGAGTTATCCAACGGACAGCGCTCTCCGCTGGGGCAGTACACCTCTCCATCGCCCCGCCTGCTCTGGATGTACACTCTGGTGCAGGGGAAGCAGAACCTGCGTTTGGTGGAGGCAGAGACGACAGGTCACAACTTACAGCAAGGCGTAACTATCATGACTACTCCAATAAAAAGAGAAAAGGTTATACACGGTTTTAAAGTAACTAACAAATGTTTCACTCTATAGAAAGCTATCAAATAAATACTGGCTTAAATGACGGATTTGGATGGACTTAAAACCCCCAAAAAACAAAGAATTCTTTGCATTTGTGATGGTTTAGTTTCAGTTTCAGGCTACAAACTCCACTTTAACAAGACAAAATAATAAAAAAACACACAAACCTGTGTCCTGGCACTGATGGACACTGAACAAAGTGCGTGTCCTCCAGCCTCTGGTGACACAAGGTGCAGGACAGAGTGTTTCCAGCGGAGTGGCTGTTGCTGGCAGACGCGGAGCCCAGCTCGGAGGCACCACTGTGGGGTAACGCTGCAGCGGTGGTGGCTGCCTCTGCGGAGGTGCTGGACCCCAGGGGCTCCCCTCCGGACCTCGCGGCCAGGGGGCGTGGCTGCCTCGCCGGAGATGAAGCAGGCTTGGGGCTCGTCTGGCTCACACCTCCAGCCAGCGAGGAGGACGACGACGACGGGAGGCCTGTAGTCTTGCTGCCGCTGCTGCCAGCCACAGCAGTGTGGACCTGCGTCTGTGTCTTGGGCTGGTTCTGGGACGAACTAAGCTCTCGCTCCAGCTCCGGAGTGATAAAGGGGGCTATCCCCATCCCTATCCCCAGCTGTCTGCGGCTCATCTCGGCCAGCACCGGCGCAGGGAAGATCATGGGGCTGCTCATGGGGGCTGTCCTGGCGGTCAGACCCGCCGGCATGCCCGCAAGAAGCCCGTGAGGAATCCCCGCAATACTTTGAGTTACTAAACTAGGCGGGATGGCAGCACCGAGCATGGGTCTCCGGCTGCCGCTCGGGCTCTGCCGGTTCACTTCTTGCGGCTGCCCGTCGCGGTGCAACCCGTTGGGCGGTACGCGAACAGCCGAGCCGGCGCTTTCTCCTCGTCCTCCCCTCTCGAAGCGGTCCGTGTGCGGCCTGCCTCCGTCCGCCGCAGCCTCTCCTCTGCCAGATGTGCCGTGTTTGT